TATATATATATATATATATGTATATATATACAATACAATCAAAAATGTAAATAAAATAAAATGAAAGGTGGCAGAAGAAGAACTAGTCTTATGAAAACTGCTCCTTTTTACTTAATTCTAATGTAAATCAAAATATTTTTACAAAATATAAATTAAAATATAATTCACAAAGATAATAACAATCTAGCTAAGTTAAAAACATAAAAATTCAAACATCTAAATCAAATCAGACAACAACTTAAGTAGATTTATATTAACGATTTCCATATTCTTTCAAGAAACTCGTCTTTATCAGTCTCTTAAATGTAAACAGTGATCTGGCATTTTTAACGTTATCATCCAAACCATTCCACAATCCTATTCCCTGAATTATTGTGGATCATTCCTTCAAAACTAGTCCTAAAATAAGGCTTCACAAATATCTCAATTCCTTTAAGAATATGTACACTCTCTCTTTTAACAAAATTCGTTTGAATATTAACGGGCAACATGTCTTTATGTGCCCTATACATAAGCAACAAAATGTTTTAATTAACCAAATCATAGAATTTCAAAAATTTTAGTTGATAAAATAAAGTATTTGATGGATATCTATTGTTTTTTTCATAATAATTCGTACAGCTCTTTTCTGTAAAATGAACAAAGGATTAGTTATAGTTTTACATGCGTTACCCCAGACTTCAATACAATAAACCAAATAAGGAACAACTATTGCATTATACAACATAAACATTGCATTATCATTGAATAACTCTCTTACTTTATACAGAATTGCTATCGATTTAGATATTTTTGTTCTCAAATTGTTTATGTGAGGTTTCCATGTTAATTTCTCATCAATAATAACACCCAAATATTTCACCTCACTAACTCTGCAGGAGTGGGCATACTTATTGCCCCCCAACTTGGTGCCTGTGTGTTGGGGTTCACCCCGGTGAATGAGAGGGTGGCCTCCCTCCGCCTACGTGTGGGGGGACGGGTTCTGACTGTCGTTTGTGCTTATGCACCAAACGGCAGTTCAGATTATCCACCCTTTTTGGAGTCCTTGGAGGGGGTACTGGAAAGTGCACCTCCTGGGGTCTCCCTTGTTTTGCTGGGGGACTTCAATGCTCATGTGGGCAATGACAGTGAGACCTGGAGGGGTGTGGTTGGGAGGAACGCCCCCCCCGATCTGAACCCGAGTGGTGTTCTGTTGTTGGACTTCTGTGCTCGTCATGGATTGTCAATAACGAACATCTTGTTCAAGCATAAGGGTGTCCATATGTGCTCTTGGCACCAGGACACCCTAGGCAGCAGTTCGATGATTGACTTTGTCATCGTCTCATCTGATCTGCGGCCACATGTCTTGGACACTCAGGTGAAGAGAGGGGCGGAGCTGTCAACTGATCACTACCTGGTGGTGAGTTGGCTCCGATGGTGGGGGAGGATGTCGGTCAGACCTGGCAGACCCAAACGTATTGTGAGTGTTTGCTGGGAACGTCTGGCAGAGTCTCCTGTGAGACGGAGTTTTAACTCCTACCTCCGGGAGAACTTCGAACATGTTCCGAGGGA